TATTTATAATCAAAGGTTTATAAGCGAAGATTATTAATATAATATGATTGATAATCAGGTTGCCAATTTTGGCAATTGCTTGGATCTTCCGATTTTGCCGATTTTGGTAATCGTAAGTGTGACGCATACTACGTGTGACGGGCGTGATCGGACGGAGTGCCGGGTGAGATAACATGTACGCCGGACGCTGTGCTATAGCCCTATGACATTCTTAACCATATTCCATAACGGGTTTATTGAATGACTTGATTGGCAAAAAAAAATTTAAACCCTAGCAAAGTATTGTAGCAACATGACTACAAAAAAAAAAACTTGAGAAATCTAAAGCCTGATAGTTTAAATTGATTACTAATCAATTTGTAAATTTAATATCACATGATGCATAAAATTCTACAAGGCTTAAACGGCCTCCAATTTTGCGGCGAATTTATGAAATTCTCCAAAATTTGAAAAATTTAATCACTAAGATATAAATATAGATTTTGGCTAAGGTAAGAAATTTTTCCCAGGCTAAGACGCTTCGTTATAATAAATTTATATGTCTAATAAGGGTAGGGAAAATGGGTTAGACTAGTGATGCGATCTGAAATCCATTATTCCGGATATCTGGTTCGGAATCTGATCCTATGTGGATAACAGATATGTATACAATATTGGGCAAAAATTGTCGAATAACGGTAATTTGGCAAATGGGCACGTGCCGCTTTGCGGCACGTTAGCCAATCATTTGCCAAATTACTGTATTCGACATATTGGTGTTATCCGGCAATTTATGATCATGATTGGTAAGGAGTCGCTCGCTGTGTTTTAATTTTGAATATTGGAATAAACATAATTACATAGTAACACATGAAAAAAATAACAAGAAGAAATTTTTTCATGATCATATGAGTTTGCCGGATAACACGTAATAAGGGGTAATCTGGTTCAGATCTATTCGGTTTATCTGACAAATATCTGTTATCTGTTTAGATCATATGTTAAGGCCACGCAAAGTTAATTTTTCGTTTAACATTACCCTGCCCCATTTTTTAATTTTTCTAAATTTTTTTTTTTTTTTTTTACATCTCAATTGTGCCAATTATTCGATTTTTGCTATTTATTTTTCTGCAATTTTATCCGGTATCACCCGATGAAGACACCTGATATCCCAGAATTATCCAATAGGACCAACAGAAAAAAATGATAGCCAACCCAATTTTCTAATTCCTTGTTATGCAAAAAAAAAAAATAACTTTGCTTAACCTTAAAATACGAACATAATTTAAAGTAGATTTTAAAAAAAAAAAAAAACAACCGAGCGACCCAATTTTCAGATTCCATATAATGTTAAACAAAACATTTACTTTGCGTGGCCTAATTTATGCAATAGTTTCATAATCAATTAATAATTATTTAAAAACAATACTTTATGTTAAATGATACTTTACGTTAAATGATACTTTATATGTATAACAATGAAAGAAATTACTAAAAAAAGAAAACAAAAAAAAACAATAAGAATAATAACCCGCTTATTGAGAATTCTCAGGATAAGATGCCTATTGGCACAATTTTTCAAATTGATTTAATGAATAGAACTAGTTGGGTGTGGGAATTTTTTCATCTTGAACTTCGAAAAGAAAAGAATAGAGAATGGGAAAAGTTTGCTATTTGTAAAATTGAAATTTTAGTTGGAGAAGAGTGTGGACGAACTTATCAAACTGAGTCCTCAACTAGCAATCTTATTGGGCATCTATTAGCAGATCATGAAGTTATGAAAGATAACCCAAATCCAAAAGAGATAATTTATAATTGTATATTAAAATTTTTAATATTGTATTACTTTAATTTAATAAAAAAATTTTTTATATTAAATAATAATCATTACAATTAATACATTCTATTCGACCACATAATGAAAAAAGACAACAAGAATTACAGAATATGCTTGTTGATTAGCTTATTGCTGATTCACAGCCATTGATTATTGTTCAACATCCTTTATTTCGACGATGGACAAATAAACTAGATCCAGCATTTATTATTCCAGATGTTAAATTAGTTAAACAAATTATTCATGATGCTTATAATTATTGTGTACCATTATTATGTAAACATCTTAAGAAAATGCTATTAAAGTATCTTTTACAATGGATCTTTGGATGGCTAAAAATCAGCGAGGATTTCTTGGAGTTACTTGCTTATATATAGATCAACAATTTCATTTAAATGAAGTAACTCTTATTGTACAATATGTTTGATATCCTCACACAGCTATTAATATTTATGAAACTGTTGAAAAGATTATTCAGTATTGGGACTTAATAGGCAAAGTACATTCAATTACCACAGATAATGCTCTAAACATGAAAAAGTCTGTGGCAAAGATGAATAGAGTCCTATGGCAAGAATGCAGTGCATATACATTACAACTAGTAATTGGGAAAGCTTTATTATCTGTGAAAATATTAATAGCTCGAGCAAAATGGTTGATAAATTTTTTTTACATCCTAAACAATCAGAGCAATTGGAAGAAATCCAAAAAGTAATCCAAAAAAAGCAACTATGATAAGTTTAAATAATAATTTTTTTATTTATATAATCTATAATTTAAATAATTTATTTATATATAGAATACTAAAGAAACTACAGATTATTTAATTAATTGTATTTCTGATTGTGATATGAGATGGAATAGTTCCTATTTAGCATAGACACACTTAATACAAATTAAAGCTTATATTGAGCTTCTTATTATTCATCTTACAACTTATAAAAATTATAATGAATGTAAAGATAGAAAATATCTGCATGAAATAAATTTAGCAGAACAAGAATGGGATTTATTAAAAAATTTTATACAAGTTCTTGGTCCATTTGCAGAAGCTACTCAATATTTGGGTGACTTATACTATTTAACACATAGTCTTATGCATCATGTGATTGAAAAATTAAAAGAAATGTTTGAACCAACAATTATTGAAATGGATGAATTAAATGACGAAAATGAGGAAGATGCATTTGACTACGAAGAAGAAGAACAAACTGTTCAAGGCCAAATTAAATTAAAGAATCCTATTAATACTATGGATTTATTAAATGAAGTCAAGATAAAAATTTATACAACACTTTGTCACTATTATCCTAATCTGACATCTCAAGAATTAGTATCTGTTCTGTTAGATCCTCAGCTTAAATCTTTAGATTTTGTTAATATTACAAACAGATTAGCAGCTAAAGATCTTCTTAAGAATTTATATGATAATGAAAAATTGTTAGACGGATATGAAGTTCTACAGTATGTATAATTCTTTAATTTAATAATTAATTATTATAATCACTATCATCAAATTCTATATAATAGAGAGTGCGAAGATTCAGATAATGATAACCAAATGGATAATTGTACAACCAACAATGATTTACTGTACATACCTTGCTTACTAAAGTCATTGGGAAAAGATGATTTTCAAGTGGCAAATGAAATTGAGGAATATTTCAGAATACCAGAAATTAGTCTGCGAAAGGACCCTTTAATGTGGTGGGACTTACATTCAAAAAAATATCTAAATTGGCAAAAATATACTTGACAGTTCCTGCAACATCAACTCCAAGTGAGCGCTTGTTTAGTGATGCCAGTAAATTATTAACATTGAAAAGGACTCGACTTACACCTGAACTATTCAAAAGGATGTTGTTTCTAAAAAGGAATATCGACAAATATCAAAATATTCATCCTTCGGAATAATATCAAATTTAAAAAAAACATTAAATAATTATATAAAGTATAATTTGCTATATAACTATAAGATATCGGTTTTGACAGGTAATATAAATCGATTTGATTGGCTCAGATCAGGTTTTGTCCAACAGATTATATATATAAGAAATATAATCCAGCCAATAATATTTATTTGTGATCATGTGACAGCATGCCATTGGTATTTTAAATTAAGTTTTAAATCCGATAACTTCTCAAAACCAATACAAAAGCTGTACACCATGCGTATCGGATTTGAGAGGTGTACTGTATTTTTATAATATAAATTTAATGTGCTGTATTTTTTATAATAAAATTTTTAAAAATTTGACCACTAATAAATAAAAATTTTAACATTGCTGTATTTTTTATAATATAAATTTAACATGCACATATTTTTTATAATATATATTTAATTTGCACTGTATTTTAATGATATGTGTTGAAAAATTTTAAGTCATGAGGCTAATTATAGGACCAAAAAGATGGACCAAAAAACATTATAAAATCGGTCTAATAGGGACTGAGACCGACCGGGACGGACTGATTCATCCCTACTCATATATATTAAATAAAAATTAATTCTTGTCTTCATACACAAGTAGAAACATTTGTTAAATTTAAATTGCTTGCAAATGGAAAATGTGTACCAGGTTGGTGTGCCACAACAGCGAAAATGTATACAATAATAACGATAACAAAGGTAAAAAATAAAAAAATACTGAATTTTTTTAGCATAATAAACATATAGTAATTCAAGCGAATTTTAAATTTATAACGCCAAATTGCTAATACATATTATAAATTACTGTGAATACAGTGTCTAAAAACAATTTTGTTCCCTTTAGCTTGTAGGTTTGTGTTAGTCACATTGTTGTCTAAGAAATTCATTAAATCACTCTAATGTACTTTTTTTGTAATTAATATTTACGAATAAGTCAACTGTAAGCTGTCCAATTATTACATTTTCTGCAGTAATAATTCACTATAATTTTCAATTTTATATTTGAAGTATTCGTTGGAGTGAAATAGGTAAATCTGACAATTTGTTGAAGTTTTAAATATGTTTTTATTTATTATTAAGTGCAGCCAACTAAAGTAAAATTTTGAACTTTACACAATTATACCTGTAATGGATTTTGAACTTTACACGATTATACCTGTAATAGATTTTGTACGTGAATAATTTTGAGTCCTAAATTTTATATTTTTTATATGAATATTAAATTTTTTACGTTTATAGCCATTTATTTGTTCTTGTTTAATATAGCTTGTAATGAATTTTGCATTTTTACAATTGCGATAAGAAATATTTTCGTCATTTACATTATTTACATCAATATAGAAAGTCTATTTAATTAAATCATTGCATAATTATAATATGTATACGTATCAACATAAAATGTAATGATCATAAAAATTGAACCTCCGAAGTATCAAGCCACCAAGGCTCACCAACCTGGTACACATTTTCTGTTTGCAAATTGTTTAGATTGTTACGATCTTGATCATGTGACTGACACAAAGAGATTTCATAGTCACATTTGTAGTTAATTTTGATCCAGCTGGGCTATAAAAACCGATTTATTAGGTTTAAATAGCCCTAATATTTAAATTTATCAATTTTTTCATCAGTTTAATGTATTAGTTAGTGACATATTTATATAGGGTTTTTGCCTTGAAAATTGAGTTACGGGACTAGTAATTTTTTTTGAGTAAACAGTAAATAAAGATTGTATAATACAAACAACTCAAACCTGATTTTCTGCTAATTTTAGATATGATCTTCATATAATTTTTTATTATTGGATAAAAAATTAAACTAGCATGTAGAACTCGGCATTGCTCGGGTTCTAGTTTTTAATTTTTTCTAATTCTTAGGTTTATATATTAAATTAGATTTTAGAACTTAGTTATTGCCTCAGGTTTAAAATTTTTAATTTTTTTTAATTCTATATATTATATTAATTTAGAACCCAGATATTGCTTAGACTCTAAAATTTTTCTAACTTATAATTATTTAACAATATATACTATAAAATGTATATTACATAATTTAAATTTTATATTATAGTTTTTATTAAATTGGCTTGAATAAAACTTTGCAGCAAGTTTGAGATTTTAAACAAAACTCAAATTCAATTTTAAAAAAATATTTGTATTAGATTAAAATAAACTTTTTAATCAAGTTTGGTTTGATTTGAGTTTAAATTGAAAATTTGCTATTTTATACTATTTTTTTTATAAATCAATTAGGTTTCTATTTGATATTAAATCAAAAATATATATTTTTTATTAAATTATTATTTCTTTTTTCTTTTTTATTAAATTATTATAGAAACAACTTTTTTTAACTGGTAGTAAATTTACCTGTTACACAGCTGATCATCAGTTAGTAATAGTAACTTTACCTGTTACATAGCTGATTGTCATACTTATGACATAATTATAGTTATACATACCAAATTTCTTTTATTCTTTTTTTTTTTTTTCTTCTTTTTACACTTCTAATATATGTTACAATTGCGGGTCATTTGCACAAGCTAATTCATTCTTTTTAAACATAAGACATAAGGTTGTTATAATTTCTGCTTTGAGACCGTTAAGAATTCTGATCTACTATATACTTTAAACATTATAGTTCTAATTCCAGTATATAATAGGTTGCAAGCTACTTTTTTTTTATGAACATAAGGCTGTTGTAAACTCTGATTTACGTATATACTTTAAACATTATTGTTTATTCTTTTGAAATATAAGATTATTATAAATTTTTGTTTTAAGGTTGTTATGATGATCTATATTGTACTCTAAGCGTTATTGCTCTAAATTCTGTTATAATAGGTTAAGTGATGTACTTTTTTGTATGAACATAAGGCTGTTGCAAACTCTGATCTACGTACGTACTCTAAACATTATTGTTTATTCTTTTGAAACATAGGATTATTATGAATTTTTGTTTTAAGGTTGTTATAAATTCTGATCTATATCGTACTCTAAGTATTATCACTCTAAATTCTGTTATAATAGGTTAAGCGGTGATTCTTTATATTTTATGCTCTAGAATTATGATAAATGAAAGGGTTGGGTGCAAGTATTCGAAATCTGTTGAAGGCAGTAATTCTTCGTATTTGAAGTCTGCTAAAAGCAGTAATTCTTTATATTTGAAATCAACTGAAGACTGCAATTCTTATGAACAAAGTAACTTTTCTAATAAAGATGACAATTCTTATGGACAAAGTAACTTTTCTACTGAAGACAGCAATTCTTATAGACAAAGTAACTTTGGATTGTATTGGAAATCAGGCAAAGAAGGCACTTAAAATAGACAAAATAATCGTGGATTATACTATAACATAGAAATTTGGCCCGCACAACAATCTTTTTGGTCTGTACAACAATCTTTTTGGCCTGCACAACAATCTTTTCTGGCTTCACACTCTTTTACAGATTTGTATTTTCCTTATAATAATCAATAGTCTACTCAGATAAATTATCTGTTGATGAATACTTTATTTAATTTATTTAGCTTTATAATTCTTAACTAAAAAAAGCTTAATTCATTTAAGTTCTATATCTATTTTATGATCAAAATATAACTTCATTGTCAAGCAATACACCAATAAATGGTTTTATTGAACCTTCATATGATTATTAAGTAATTCAAAATCAATTACGCCCTCAACCTATATAGGTATTATTAAGCTTTTTAGTCAATAAAGCAGCATCATTTACTTATTTGTTTATAATCTATCTATTTGTAGGCTTGGTCTCAATAATTTTGATGAGATTGATAATTACAATGAGATTAATGGCTACAATGAGATTAATACTGTGATGACTAGAAAACGGCGACTCAGTTGCTTCACAATCCAAAAACTCGTGTAACCTGGGTAAGTAACCTTTCGAAAGAGGTGTGTTAGATTTGGCTGGTGGTGA